ACGAAGCTGACCATAACAGAGCTACCATGTAATTCGGCTAGCTATTTAATATCATACTTGGTAATTGGTATTTTCAACCTGAACGACACCTCATGCAATACATGGACTAAAAGGTCAGGTAGGAGACCCCAAATTTCAGGCTTAGCCAGTCCTAATTTGCAATTGCTTCTCAGAAAGGGGGAACAGGTCACAAGCACTCGCCCCCTGTGCAACTACTCTTAAAGGAATGTCGAATCAACCGTTAGAACATTAACACCTCTGCAGCTGAAGGCTTAGATTGTGTTCAACAGCAACCGTGTTGAACTTCCTAATCGCCACTAATATTATACAAGTGCCTATAGCAAGTCTGTTATCAAATCATCAATATTCTGCTTAATGGTAGAAGGTCTAATTTACTTTATAGGTCTTTGAAAGAAATGAGAACAAGTACTTTTTAATAGTTCCATATTATCTCCAGTTAAAAACAACCAAACATAACTCCTATTTATAAAACAATTGTTTTAGTAATTTCTAACATAACAAAATGTCCTCCTCACATCAGACGGTTACTAGGTTATACACAGTTTTCGTATAACCTTGCTATGAGAAGAATTAATAATTAGCTGTTATTACCATGGAAAAGTGATGATGGCAGGTTTTAGTTCTGCAAAATCAAGGCTTAGTAAACTTTGGAAAATAAAATGAAAGAGATGGCGCTATCTGTTTTATAATAAAACATTGTTCGAAAGCGATTATGAATTTAAAATATATTCAAAAAGAACTTAAAAATGTTGCTCATCCAACTGTAAAGAAATAGAAATAAAAAATATGAATATAAAATTATATTGTAAAGTAAAACTGTACAGACTTCTCATTAAAAACATCTTAGAACGCATGAAGGAATATATCAATGTGAACGAAGTTGTTGTGACTTGTATTAGTGTTACCAGGATTATATTTAAGGAGATTTTATTAGCCAAATATTTTCAATGTGAATGTAATTGTGATAAAAAGAAATAAAAGAGGAAAATGTACAATAAGTTTTGGAATGTATGTCAGTGAAAGAGATTGTTTAACATTGGTTTGGTTTGTTTTGAACTTTTCGCAGAACTGCTCGAGAGCTATCTGCGCTAGCCGTCCCTAATTTAACAGTGATAGACTAGAGGGAAGGCAGCTAGTCAACACCACCCACCACCAATTCTTTGGTTACTCTTGTATCAACAAATAATGGGATCGACCGTGACATTATATTATCCCCACGGCTGAAAGGGCGAGCAGGTTCAGAGACGGAGATTCGAATCCGCGATCCTCAGTTGAGCTCCCTAACTACCAGGCCATGCATTTAAAATTTTTCATGAAGCTCTATAAGTACGAAGTGTGTAAACCTTTAACTAGCCACGCGCAAGTAAATAATAATATAAAATTTGTATATAGTGTAGTACTAACCTATAGTATGTAAAAGCCCTTTCCGACGCAAAATACTCATACAATTAGATCTTAAAGATGTGTTCAGCTTGGGAATCTAGAGTTCTCAAGACAAGGAACCACCTGGCCATGCCGGGCCCGAACACGAAGGACAGTACGTAACGTAACCAAGAAAAATCTTCGTCTGGAAAAGCAACACGAGTCACGTATATACAAGTTGATTCCACGATAAATCCGATCAACCGACATATACCTCAAGTAGTTGGAGAATGAAACGGACATTCGTGCTATTAAATATAGAAAGATACACTCGTCAAGTCACGAATAGATTTCTGTGCGATCGGACTGTTGAAACGGATGCTGGGAAATTGTCATCTTCATACACGAGACGGTTAATGGGATGTCGCAGGGAGTTGTATTGAGCTTTTCACATGACAGCCTTACGAATTGCAAAGAAAGTTACGCTGCAGGGCTATTGTCGTCCTATAGAGTATGACCGGATATATTTAAGGGTGAGAGGAGGCTTCAAAACCGTTTTAATATAAGGCACTCAACTTCTGTAGATATCAAGGGGCCCATGAAGCAAAATTACATGGAAACCATTAAATAACACTATTGTTAATTATTGTGTGGGCCTCAAGAGTGCTCCTTGAAAGCCAGTAAACTTGATCCAACAAGTTAATATAGCTAGTTGCGCCCGTGTTCACGTGTGATATTGATATATATTGTAGAGACTACATTTTTTTTCAAACCATGCGAATAAGGATTGAGAATTTTTACTTCAAACAGCTCATTTGGTCTACCTGTACCTTATTAGATGTTGTAATGTTAATTTCCTGCTGTCGTTTAAGTGAACTCACCTACGGAATATTGTGTATGTCTGAGCATTACTATCACCTTATCTATTAATTTCAGTTCTTAAAGCAGTCCATAATATGTTCTAAAGAGGTTTAAACATACTCTATAAAAATTATTTTCATGTGCCTCTCACAGTGGTTTGTCGCCATAAGTTCTAGCTTTTGTGCCATGAACGACATGTTTAATATCTGTATATTTGACAGTGCAATGTCATCATGGTTAGACTTATGACTGGAGAATTACGTTACAGTCCTATCTGAGGAAAGTGTAATATTTTAAACATAATATTTTAAAAAACAAACCACGAAACTTGTTCCACTGAAATAACAAATCTAACAATGTAGGGCGTGACTGAAGTATCAGTACAGTATGGTATACAACAAAGTGAATAAGGAATTAATTCTCCTCCAATATCCGATTTAATTACCATACTAAGTTTAGAATCCTGCTACTGCGGCCTCGCTAAGCAAGATTTGCTTATTTGAGATTTTATCTCGTAGCCGCAGGTATAAGTACGTAAATAGTTAAATATAATACGTATTTCACAGTGTTGTGTTATCCTTTTAGAGACTAGTAGCATATGAGCTTCTATTCATCTTTATATACACCAAACAAAATATTCCGTAAACTATGAGACCTAGAAATAATCCACGAGCTCACAAATCATGACTTGGTTAGGGCGCTCGAGTCCGAATTTCCTCACCGAACATGCTCGTCCTTTCAGCCGTGGAAGCGTTATATTTTGACGTTCAATCTTCTTTGGTAAAAGTGTAGCCCAAGAGATGGCGGTGGGTGGTGTTGCCTAGCTGCCTCCTCTCTAGTCTATCGCTTCAAAATTAGGGACCGTTAGCTCGGATAGCGCTAGAGCAACTTTGCGCGAAATTCCAAACACAAAGAATTACGAAACAAATGTGAAATAAGGAAAGGAATTGTAAATAATGTTATCTTATGTCATTCCTTAGAAGTATTTGGCTCACTCTTCAACACAAGATATCAGGTAAGGAAAAGAATTGTAATTAATAATATCTTGTGTTATTCAATAGAAGTATTTGGCTCACTCTTCAACACAAGATATCAGGTAAGGAAAATAAACGTAATTAATATTATCTTATGTCATTCCTTAGATATATTTCCTGTAAACAAGTGCTCACAACCTAATTAATACATATATTTCCTGTAAGTAAGTGCTCACAACCTAATTAATACGTATGTTTCCTCTAAGTAAGTGCTAACAACCTAATTAATACGTATGTTTCCTCTAAGTAAGTGCTAA